TTAAAAAATATTTATTCTGGGGGGAGACCTAAAGACAGCAGAGCTCCTGTCTAATGGCTTACTTCCCAAATACCCATGCTGGCTGCGTCTGGGTTCTGAGAACTCAATTCAGGTCTTTGTGTGTGGCAGCAAACCGTGTACTTGAGCCATTACCTGCTGCCTCCTGGGGTATGCATTAGTAAAACGCTAGAGTTAACACACCAGCTGGCACCCTGATTTAAGATGCTGGGTCTGAACTGGCAGCTGAACTGCCAAGTGAAATGCTTGCCTGGGAACTTTTTGGCATCAATATTTATGGAATACTTTTTAATTTGAAAGCAGCATCTCACATAAAGATGACATCAACCAGGTGAATTTTAAATTGGCCTTTATTTCCTGCTTTTGCCAATCATTTTCTTTTGATTTCTGGGTCATGGAGGAAGAAGAAATCAAAATGGGAATGTGGACAGCTGAAGTTAGGTGTTCTGTGAGGCTCCCCTTACAGCAGAGGAAGGAACCTGGTATCTGTGGATCCTCTACCTCATTCCAGGCACTCTTAGAAGTTTGTACTGATGAAACCAAGTGTTTTGCTGTAGTAATAAATAAGCACTTGTTCAGTGTGTTAGTACAGAGGTTAGGCCTAAAAAGTAATTCTACTGTTTTAGTGACAGTAAGAGAGGAACAGGAAAAACTTTAAAACAAAAACTTTAATAGGGGAGAATCTCCCCCAAAAAAGTTTTTTTTAAAGTGTTATTTATATGAAAGGCAGAGTTAAAGACAGAAAGATCTTCCATCCATTGGTTTGCTTTCGTAAGTGACTACAGTGATCAGGGGTGAGCCAGGCTGAAGACATGAGTTATTCAAAGGTCTCGAAGATGGTGGCCCCAGGAGCCCAGGGACTTGAGCCATCTTTTGATGCTTCCCCAGCTCATTAGTAGGGAACTGAATTGTTAATGGAACAGCCAGAACTCCAGCTGTCACCCAGTGGGACACTGGTGCTTCAGGCCACAGTTTAGGTTGTTTTACCACAATGCCAGCCCCTACAATCGAGTTCTTAAAGAAAATAGTTTTATGAGTTACTTCTTTATGATATTGGCTAATAGTACAGAAGTTGATAGCAGATGGTATCAGATGTCCTGGATTAATTGTGTTCATTGTAGCATATTGCAACTAACATGTGTACTTTTAACTTTCTAATAAGAGTTTGAAAAGACAAAGTAAAGGCCTGGCACTGTAGCCTAGTAGCTAAAGTCTTCACCTTGCATGCACTGGCATCCCATATGGGTGCCAATCCATGTCCTGGTGGCCCTACTTCGCATCTATCTTGTGGCCTGCGAAAGCAGCGGAGGACAGCCCAAAGCCTTGGGACCCTGAACCCATGTGGGAAACCTGGAAGAAGCTCCTGGGTTCAGATTGGCTCAGCAATGGCCATTGTGGCCACTTGGGGAATGAATCAGCAGGTGGAAGACCTGTCTCTCTTCCTCTCTGTATATCTGACTTTCCAATAAAAATAAATAAATCTTAACAGAAAAGACAAACAAGGGGCAGGCATGATGGTATAGCATGTTAAGCCACTGTTTTAAATGCCTGCATCCCAGTCAGAGTCTAGGCAACTGCTACCAATCCACTTCCCATTAATGTGCCTGGGAGGCAGCAGTTGATGGCCCATCTCCCACTTGGGAGGTCCAGGTGGTGGTTCTAGCTCCTGTTGCAGGCTTAGCCCAGGTCCAGTTGTTGCAGGTACCTGGGCAGAAAACCAGTAGATGGAAACTCTCTGCTCTGTATCTGCCTTTTATAATGCCTTTTAAACAAAGACAGGTAAAGTTAATTTTAATTTTAATTTTATATTTTATTTATTTATTTATTTATTTATATTTTATTTATACTAGGTCCACACCTAGTATAAAACTTGCTAGCATTTGCATCCTTTTTGTCTTATTGGATCTCAGAAATCCTGCATATATTTCACATTTATAGGATATCAATTAAGATGCAAAATTTTCATTAGAAAGATTTGATTTGGATTAATAAAAAATGGAAGTAAGGTAGACTCATGCTAGTCTAAGCACTACAGTTTTTTGAATAAATGTAGAACCCAAAACCATTTTTTCTTTAATGTTTGCTTTAATATTAACAACACTGGCTTATCTTTTTATAAGATTTAATTTAACTAGAAACAAAAGTATATCAGTATCAAAATGTCTCTTCAAAGTAAATACAACTTTTATATAATTTAGATAAACCAAATGTGATCAACATGAAATGCAAAGGAGCATTACATAAATTGTATTTTGAAAGAGCAGGTAGAGAGGTCTTCTAGCCACTGTTCACTCTGCATCCAGGACTGGGCCATTCCAAGGCAAGAGCCCAGACCCCATTTGGGTCTCCAGGCGTGGATGACGGGAGGGGTCCAAGTACTTGGCCTGTCCTCTGTTGCCTTCCCACACACATTAGCAGAGGACAGGATGAGAAGCAGAGCAGCTGAGCTCATAATTCCAGTGTTGGAATTATGGCTTACACTCCCTGTTGCCATAGTGCTGGCCCCAATCTTAATTTTTTAAGCTAGAAAAATAATAAGTATTTCTGGATTACCAGTTAACATTTATATAAGTATCACTTTAACTCAAGTTGCCTGCATCAAATGTATTCAAATAAAAACATTTACAATACTGTATTATTGAATAGGAAAATCACCGAAGCTGCATCTTGACACAAGTTGGGTTGGTGAGGTGCTCCTGTGCAGTACTGAAATGACACGTGCACCTGCTATGCACGGCCCTTCTATAAGGTAAAGATAAATACAGCCATCCGAAGTAGGAAAGTTGCATTCGTGACACTAGAATTTTATATTACTGAGGAAAAACATTTAATATTTCTGAAAATTAAAATCTAGTTCTCCAGTTGCACCTACCCCATTAATACAATTCTGGAATCCAGAATGACTGACTTGTGATGAAAGTTTAAAGAAGCAACTGAACCCTACTAAGTTAGATTAGTTAAGTACTAAGGCCATGAACAAGCTTTTATTTCAATATACAAAACCATTGACGAATGTAATTTTATATCCTAGGCCTAATCCATGTCACACCACAAGCGATTACCTCAATAAGAACTAAATCAGTTGTTTAATTCAATATGAAACGATGTTTCTTTAAACAGAGCAGCCACTTTTTCTCGTAGCAAAGGGCTTGTTTTGTGTGTAAAGGCAGTTTGTAAACACATGAAATGTGATCTGAATTTGCTCTCAGATATTTTTTAAACTGAGTTTTCTGAACTACACACATCCATGTATGCAAACATAAAGTGAAAATATACCTGATAATTGGAGAAGAGTCACATTTCTTTTTTTAGTGAATGCTTAAGTTCATTCAGCTACTTTATAACCTTAAGCCCAGTTTTACTAGGTGATTTTTTTTTTAAAGATAGATTTATTTTTATTGGAAAGTCAGATATACAGAGAGGAAGATCTTCCGTCCAATGATTCACTCTCCAAGTGGCCGCAATGGCCGGTACTGCGTCGATCTAAAGCCAGGAGCCAGGAGCTCTTCCAGGTCCTGCATGCGGGTGCAGGGTCCCAAGGCTTTGGGCCGTCCTCGACTGCTTTCCCAGGCACAAGCAGGGAGCTGGCTGGGAAGCGGGGCCCATATGGGATCCCGGTGTGTTCAAGGCGAGGACTTCAGCCGCTACGATATCGCGCCAGGCCCTACTAGGTGGATCTTAACCTCTTAAGGTTTATGCTGAGAACCAGGCAGTGAAAATTTTCTCTAGTTGATTCCTTTGTATTTGTCATATAACCAATAAAGAGTTTATTACCCCACCAATGGTACTTTGATCAAAGAAAAATGGGTGCAGGATATAAAAGCTTGCTTTTATTCTATGTGGAAATGTTAGGAGTTGATCCTGAAAGGCTTGGGCACAATGTTGGAGAAATGGTGATGAACTGCTTAAGTGGTCAGTTAATGGGGGTGTAGATTATAATTACACAGATAACATAATTACACAGATAATATTGAGGTTTAAATTTTCAAAAGCATTTGGTTAGACTTCTCACTGCTCTGAACAAGGCACAGGCCTTGCCTTTGCATGTCATCTTTTTAACAGACTGGTTTCAGTTATATGGGATATGATTTTTGGGGGGGCGGTTACTAGAGATGACCTAATTTTTACCAATTACCATGCTTCCGGGATGTTGTGTGAAAGGAGCAACAATATTGGTGTTCTTGCTGGGTATAACAAGTGTTATTATTATATAAAGCTGTATATTTAAAGTGTCTTTGTGCCACGTTTTGATTCTGTTCAAATTGGCCATCCTAGGAAAAGTTGGATATTGATGCACACGTTAATTCTGGGTGATTCCGTATGTTATTTGTGTACTGACTGACTAAAACTTGCACACACACTGTGTATCAGTTGATACTCTGTCAGTTATTAATATAAATATCTTAAATGCTTAAAAGCACTTAATTTCCACAGATATTAAAATTTTTACACTTTTTAGCACCTCAGAATGAAAGATGTATTCTTTTAAATTCATCTGAATTTATTTTAATTAAATGATGCTTAATATATACAATTTTAGTTTTCATTTTCCTAATCATATAGTCTTCCAGCTTAGTTGTCTTTTCCATGCTTTTCACTTCTCTCCTCCTCCAAGTTCCCCATGAATTTGGACTGGGAATTATCACATTAAAGTTTTAGGCTTAATGCTACGTGTAAAATATTGGTGCTTTTCATTTCATTTCAATGTATTCTGTACCACTAAAAAGGCAACACATATAGTAGCTTATTTCATTTTCAAAGGAGGAACTGGAGAGCCTTTGAATAAAAATGTGAAAAGCAGCTCTAGTGTGCATTGCCTACATGGCTTTTTGAAAAGGCTCTTAAAAACATTCCATCCGTGAATTCCAAGTCCACCAGCAGTTGGCGGCCTGCGGAGCCCGGTGAGCAGCCAGGCCTGGGCGTGATGCATGCTGTGGTTCCCTCAGGCTCTTGACACACACCGATGAGTGTTTCCCTTGCAGTTATCGCTGTGATGATTTCGTGGTTAACGACACCAAGCTGGGACTGGTACAGAAAGTCAGAGAACACTTACAGAACTTGGAAAAGTAAGTAAAAGGTCTTGGGGAAAAAGGGGGGGAGGGGAAGCGGGGTGAGATGTCTTCTGGAATTTTTGTCTAGGGATTCGTCATGTTTTTAATGTGATAGAAATACCAATGAAACAAACATTGGGTTTGAATATCTTAAACTTTTTATAGTTATTGATCCTAGAGCTGCATTTATTCCACTTACTTTTTGGTCAGAAACTGCATCCAAGAGGCCAAGTCATTACCTACCTGCTTCTAAGCTGCTTTTTTTTTAAGGGGAAATTTGGTGGTACAAGGAAACAGCAGAGCATGATATAAAATGATAGTTACCGTTGGCGTTAGAACCTCCCTGTCTGATGTCCGCGAGGCGTCCTTAGAGCAGTAGGATGCAGGAGGGCAGCATGTTGCCCTCTTGGGTCTCTGGCAGCACAGGGTTCTTGTTTCTTCTGTTTCTGGTAAGGCAATGTGTGCCACTAGATCTGTGTACACCATTGCAAGGATCTGCGAATGCTTTGTCGGCCCAGAAAAAGAAGAAATGCGAATAGGCTTTTCCTGCTGTAGCCAAAATAGGCTATGCAGGTGACGCTCACTGGTCTCAAACTGGAGCAATAGGGAGAACCAACTGGCATTGCCTTCGCAGTCATGGTGTTTAGTCATAGGCTCTGGAATGACCGTTCACTCAAGCGACATGTCAGTCACCCCAAATCATCAAATGCCATCGAGATTATGTTGGCAGTTGATGTACAGAGGTCTTGCAAGAACTTTAACCAACTTAAATGCCAAGCCAAGAGAAATCTCAGAATTGTTTCTTGAAGGGTCTAATGTGGATGTCAGTGTGGTTTTTTTTGTGTGTGTGTGTTTGTGTTATTGATTGAGCTTGTGAAGCTAGTAAGAGAAATATGATGATTGCTTTAAGATTTAAACTAATTTAAACATGTTACAGTTAAATATTTTGGCTTTCTCATTTTCCTGAGTTTATTTTTTCTTTTAACATGAACTGAACAGCACAAGCTCTTAGGGACACACAGCAAAGCGTTTAATGTTGTCAGAAGTTGCTAGGTACCCTGACTTACTAAAGTCCTGCAGTAATTCATGAAGCAGCATTCTCCAGTAGTGAGATCTTAGGAACTTGAGTCTTTGTTAAAGAAATGGGTAGCTTCCTTATGTTTTCCTTGAGAAAACACTGTATCCTCATTCAGAAATAAACGACCAAAGCTAAGTTAGAGGAAATGAAGGCATCTGAGAAGGTGCCTGCATCTGCACAGCTCTGAAGCTTGTTTCCCTTGCCTACTCCATCCGGAAACCGGGTCACACACTGCATTGTATGCGCGCCTACCTGTCGCCCCAAAGACGCTATTGTGCAGTTCCCCTTCCTGTCTTGAAAAGCATAACATCAGTTCATGGTTAAGCTTTACAAATGAGGCTGTAATTTACAGGGCAATTCAATTGGGCTGCATTGCCATTTTCCTTAGACCTGGGCTGTTCTGCGCACGCTCCGAAGCCGTACTGCCTGTGGTAGAACTCGCTGCAGTGGAGACTTCAGAGCTCCTCACTGTGTCAGCGCAGCCGCTGGCCACGTGGGGCCACGGAACTCTGTACAAGTGGCCAGTGTGCTTGAGAACGCGAATTTCAGGTTTTGTTTAATTTAAACTTAGCTACATTTTTTTTAAAGATTTATTTTTATTGTTATTTTTTTTATTGGAAAGGCAGATATACAGAGAGGAGAGACAGAGAGGAAGATCTTCCGTCCGATGATTCACTCCCCAAGTGAGCGCAACGACCGATGCTATGCCGATCCAAAGCCAGGAGCCTCTTCTGGGTCTCCCACGTGGGTGCAGGGTCCCAAAGCTTTGGGCCGTCCTCGACTGCCTTCCCGGGCCACAGGCAGGGAGCTGGAAGGGAAGCGGGGCTGCCGGGATTAGAACTGGCGCCCATATGGGATCCCGGGCGTGCAAGGCGAGGACCTTAACCACTTGCGCCACCGCGCCGGGCCCAAACTTAGCTACTTTTAATGAGTGACGACTCTGTTGTTTAATGAGTGAAATCTATGTTGTTACGATAATGTTCACTTCCTCTGAATCATTTTTCTTTATGCAAAATAATCTTAGTGACTTTTTGAAGATAACTTTCTGATAAAACTAAGCTAAATTTTTCTTCAAGAAAAACTTCTTTCATAAAGAAAAATTTGGCATGATTTTAGTTCAAATTCCATGTGAATTAGAGTTTGCTTTAGAATATCCTTTGCTGCATAGGTGAGCATACCTGTATTCCTGTAATGTATTATTCATTTCAGATCAATCATAATCTATTAAGACAAATGGACAAACCACTGTACCTTTACCAAAATTAAGAAGTAGCATGTTCTTTGAGACATGCTGTTGAATTTCATCGTAACTGGCTCAGAGCAGGGTATTCCTTTTGTTGTGAGGAAGAGGTCTTCTCATGTTTTCTGAAGTTTCCTGGTGGATTAGGCAGGTGGAGAGGTGGGCGGAGGAAAGGTGCACATGTTTCACAGGCTACACCTACCTGGCAGGTTTGCTGTGAGCTGCTTGTAGCCCTGGCCCCCTTTCTCCATGCTCCTCCGCTGCTCAAGGAGCAGGGGAGATGTTCCCGGAAGCGGAACTCCTAGATTTGTGGCCGCACAGGGCTTGACTGTGAATCCCAGATGCTGAGTGTAGCACCAGTTGATTTGTTAACCTGGTGTAGTTTCTTTATGCAAATGTGTTGTTGACTGTTTGTTTGTGTTTTAATAGCTCAACTTTCACAGGTGACAGACATAGGAAAAGAAAACTTTTGGAGAACTCCTCATTAAACAGCAAGTTGCTAAAAGTAAATGTAAGTAATTACATTTTATTCAACTGTAAGAATTGAGATATAATCACTTTTTTGTTTTAAGATTTATTATTTATTTATTTATTTATTTGAAAGAGTTACATTGAGGGAGAGAAAGGCGCGCTCTCATCAACTGGTTCACTCCCACGTAGCTGCAACAGCCAGGAGCCTCATCCCAGTCTCCCAAGTCGGTGCAGGGACCTAGGCACTTGGGCCACCTTCTGCTACTTCTCAGGCACATTAGCAGAGAGTTGGATCTGAAGTGGAGCAGCCGGGACTTAAACTGGCATCCATACGACATGCTAGTGTTGCAAGCTGGGGCTTACCATTCTATGCCACAATTCTGGTCCTTTAATCACTAGGTCATTACAGCTCTGGTGTTTGATGTCGTCTGTTGTAAACTTAAAACTGTGTGCCTTGAATTTGGAGTGTCCCACACAATGTTTGCCAGTTATACTAACGATTCTTGATGTGATACCAGTGAATCCATCCATCAGTGTCTGCCTTCCGCCAGAATTATTATTGTGCACCCCTTCTTACAAAGCAGTTCGCTCCTGATGTACTGCTCATGTACCTTACTGCTTCATTTCTGTGGGCTCCCCACGATCCTTTCTTTGTTTATATTCCTGAGCAGTAGAGGGTGGGTGTTTGGCCTAGCAGCTAAGATGCCATTTAGAACATTGGTGTCCCGTATCAGAGTACCTAGGTTTTGATGCCCTGCTTAGATCCCTGACTCCAGCTTCCTCTTGGTGCAGACCTTGGGGTGCAGCAGTGACGGCTGAAGAGCTTAGGTCTCGTCTCCCACAAGAGAGACTCTGAATTATGTTCATTGTTCCTGACATAGCCTCACCCTCCTCCATCTATGCCACCACCCCACCAGGCAGCTGCCAGAATTTCGCATGTCTGTCCTTCTCTACCACTCCAAAAAAGGTCCCTAGTGCAGTGTTTCTGGGTCTCAAGTTTTGGTAAGTTTTATTTCTTAGGATTTCATTAATGTCATTTCACCAGGGATGGGTGTTTGGTACAGCTACTAAGATACTCTTTGAGATACCCACATCCTATATTTAAGTATCTGGGTTTGAGTTCCAGCTCTGGTTCCCATTGCATTAAGCTTCTGAAATTGTACCTCCTGGCGGGCAGCAGGTGATGGCTCAAGGACTTGGGCCCCTGCCACTCACACGGGAGACCTGGTTTGGGGTCCTGGCTCAATCCAGGCTGTTGTTAGCACTTGGGGAATTAGCAAAAGGATAGAAAATCTTTCATTGATTGGAAAAAGCCCAGTTTCAAATTGGTGCTAGATTTTCAAATTGAGGCCTTTGTTTAGCTTTGATATTTGAAAGTTGATCTTCCCTTGGCTTTACTGATGGTCCCACTTACTGCACTCCACAGGGAAGCACTGCTGCCATCTGTGCCACGGGCCTGCGGAACTTGGGGAACACGTGTTTCATGAATGCCATCCTGCAGTCACTCAGGTATGGCAGCCATGTCTGGCATCATGAGCGCTGGCTTCAGATCTTGTTTCGGCCACTGACTCCAGCATACAGCTTAGGCAAAGTCAGCTCACCTCCCTGTGTCTTACATTCCTGGAAATAACACTTGATGCTTCACTGCCTAGTTGGGAAAATTAAATATTTTAATTTGTTTAAAGTGCTTAAAGCACTTCCTGGCTTACTGTTACTATTTCCTCTTTGTTGGTTCTTGAACAAGCTACCACATGGGCAGCAACTTCTGTGGAAGGCAAGGCAGTAAATATTTTAGTATTTACAACCCTTTAAAAATATAAAACTCACTTCACAAAGGAAAGCTCCCTGGCACCAGGGAACCTTGTTAGAGAGCTTGTGTCTGTTGTTAGTTCAGTGTGCCGCACTGTGATGAGCTCAGCTGTTCAGGGGTTCCCAAAAATGTAAGACAAGTAGGAAGCGTAAAATGGCCAACTGAGAAAAGATTTAGCCATTCAAGACCTGTGCAAGTTACACAGAAGAAACTGTAAAGTTGCATACTTTTCGGTTTTAACGAAGCATCAAAAGCCAGGATTAAGTGTCTTCCCACAGTCGTATGGCTAAGGAGGAACAGAAGGGGTACCTGACCTTCCCTCGAAGGTGCTGCCTCTCACCTAGAGAAGAAATTCTAGTTACTATAGAGTTCTCCTTATGATTCTTCACAGTATAGCTAAATGATGTGCCTGGCTTCAGGATTTGTTTTTATTAGAAATATTATTAAAAACCTAGAAGCAAACACCCTGGAGAGAATTGGTGACAACCTTTAGATGGAAAATTGGGGAGTTTGAGGAATAGAGATTCTGTTTTACGTTTTTTTTTTTTTCAATTTCTGCCAATCATCTATTGATCTGGTTTTCTTAAACTGGGTTAAAAACTTGTAAAGAAACTCAAGCTCAGTACAAGAGATTGCATTGAGTAAAATCTAAAGGAGACAGCTGAGTGGTTATACAATCCATACTTGGTTTCATAAATGTCTTTTTTTTTGTGCTGTCCTATTGACTTTTTAAGAAATAATTTTCTTCCCTTCCTTTTAAAATAGTAACATTGAGCAGTTTTGCTGTTATTTCAAAGAACTGCCCGCTGTGGAGTTAAGGAATGGGAAGACGGCAGGAAGGCGAACATACCACACCAGGAGCCAAGGGGACACCAATGTGTGAGTTCTGTGAATCTTTTGCTTCCGGCTTTGTGCTATAATGCGTGATTGTACTGGTGACTCCCATTGTATTATGTGAGTTCATAAGGACACACTTAAATTTTTTTCTTCCAAAAATTAAAGTATCTAACTGGTAGTCAGTAATTGTTGGAATTATTTTATTTCTATTTACTGTAACAAGCAGGGTAAATTAGACATTCTTTTTATCAAGTCTTCGCAGATTTGGAGCATTTTAGAAATGGCATTCAGTTCTAGGTGTAGAAGATGGATATCATTAGTCCCTATGAATTGATTTCTCTAACAGTGTTAAGTAGATCTGTTTTGGATTAAAAATTTCTACTGATAAAATTCATTGCAAGACAACACAGTCAACCAGTAGTTGAGATGGACAGGGAAAAATGGCCAAGTGTTTATTAAGGACTAACCTTGGGTTCAAATTCAGTATTGCCCTGCCCTACTTGAGGTTCATGTGATTGTAAGTAAAGGGCACATTGTGAGAACAGAGCTGAGGCTTCCTATATACTTAGTGTTCCCCTTGCCTCTGTATCTCCATCACCCCATTCCCACTAATTCCAACAGACCATTGTAGATTCTGAAACTGCGCTGTGTCCGTGGTCATGCTGGATAGGGTAGGAGGTGCTAGACGAGTGAACAGTCTGGATTGAGTCACCATGCAGGGAACATTTAGAGCCATGCAGTTAAGCAGGGTGAAGTGGCAGCACCGGGTGATGCTGGAACAGAGTCTTCTTTGGTAGAAGTGAGATAAGCTGACAGTGCCAGCCCTCAAGGAGGCATTAGTCAGGTTGTAGAAGATAGTGGTGACATGAAGAGAAGAAATGCATGTGCGTGAAGGTTAAGGGCACAGTTAGTAGTTCTCAGGTATCAGTGTCATCTAGGGTTTAATTTAGAGAAGCTAGTTGGATTGGGGGAATATCAATTATAGGGAGCCGAGGCAGGTAGCACTGTAGCACCCTCTACTCCGTAACTGTCGTGTAAGGACACCCTTGCAGTCTTACAGCCAGGGCTGCTGCTACTCCTGGATCCTAGATGCTACTCTACCCCAGAGAGACTCGGGCATTCTCATGGCTTCAGATAGGGAGAACCCAGGCCAGGTTGTTGCACTCCGAGTGCCAGGGGAGCTGGGAAAGTAAATAGCTGATATTTTCAACTAAGGCTGTTAAGGAAGTAGAATGGCATAGGAAGAGGGTTCACAAACTGAGAAGTGAAAAATGCAGTGTATATTTAAGGAATCTACTGGATAACAGGGGTGCGGAAAGAAGATCCTGAGGGACTCTGACGTGGTAATCAAGTATGCATGAGCATGGTGGTTATATTGACAGATAGATGCAATTGAAGTAGGGGAGGTGGATCCCGCTTAGCTATGTGCCTAGAAAACCAAAAGTAATGATGACATAAATTTATAGTATATTTTTAATGTAAGAGTTAGAGATTACTTATCTAAGGCTATTTTTTTTAAGTTGATTTAATTTTATTAGAAAAACACAGCTACAGAGAAGAGAGGAGAACCAGAGAAAAATCTTCTGTTTGTTCACTCTCCAAATGGCTGCATTGGCTGGAGCTGAGGCAGTCTGAAGCCAGGAGCCAGGAGCTTCCACAGGGTCTCTCATGCAAGTGCAGGAGCTCAAGGACTTGGGCCCTCCGCCCCCCCCCCACTACCTTCCCTCGCCATAAACAAGGAGCTGGATCAGAAGTGGAGCTGCCAGGGCTTGAGCCAGTACTCATATTGATTGTGGCACAACATTGAGAGGCTTAGCCAACTGCACTATGGTGCCAGCCCCCTAGCTGGCTTTTGGCTTCCTGTTCTAGTAGCCCCAGGGAGTGGCTCCCCTGCACATCATCTAGAATAGTCCTGAGCCTCACCACTGCATCCCCATGCCAGTTGGTGGGGAGAGAGAGAACAGGAATAAAGCAACTGTTCTTTCACATGCTTGGTAAAAAATGAAAGTTGTAGTCATAGAGGGAAGAAAATAGATATTGGGGAAGGCAGGAAAACGTGGAAGGTACTTTTGAGCAGTTCAGCACAAAGAGAATTTCCAGGTCATTGTGTTGGAAACAAGAAACCTGAAAAAAAAAAAAAAAGCAGTTCTGAGAACATCTCAGTTTCAGATTTGAGATAGAGTGATTAGTGTCTTGGCAGCACTGAAATTTTGTGGCCACGGGTCCTCTGAGGGGAGCGGATGGTCACAGACTGAACACCGGGAAGTGGTCCTCGTGGCAGGCGAGAAGGGCCAAACACAGGAGTGGCAGACAAAGATCCTATACAAATAAGGCACTGCTTTTCTCACGGAACTAATCACGTGGTTCCAGAACTAGCTCTGTCAGTAATTGCTCCTACTTATACATCCTGGGTGCTCTTATTTACTGTCGGGCTTAGTTTGAATAAGACAACATCCTTTTCAGGTTTTCACTGTTTCAGTGTGCCCTTGAGCCAACAGGGCTGTGCACTATGGAAGGAGCCTCTGTCTGCTGCTGAGCTGTCTTCTTCCCTTCTTGCAGGTCTCTGGTCGAAGAGTTCAGAAAGACACTCTGTGCTCTGTGGCAAGGCAGCCAGACTGCGTTTAGCCCTGAGTCCTTATTTTATGTTGTTTGGAAGATTATGCCGAATTTCAGGTAAGTGTACTTTAAAGAAGAGTACGTAAAAGCATGAATATTATTCTTTGCTCTGTGTCCAAATTTAGTTTACAATAGAAGGTGACTTTCTAAATATTCTAAATAATAGGGTGTTTCATTGTTTTTCTTTTTAGAAGAACAACTGTTGAATACATTGGACCTGGTGAATGTGTCTATTTGAGAAACAGATGTTAGGGGCAAACATGGTAGCATCCCTCAGGCAGCTGCCTCCCGTGTGGGAGTGCTGGCTACTCTGCTCAGCTTCCTGCTCATATGACTGGGAAGCAGTGGGTGATAACCCTAGTCTTGGGTTTCTACGCACATATGGTAGTCCCAGATGGAGTTCTTGGCTCCTGGCTCTTTTTTTTTTTTAAGATTTATTTATTTTTATTGGAAAGGCAGAAGTACAGAGAGGAGGAGAGACAGAGAGGAAGATCTTCTGTCCGATGGTTCACTCCCCAAGCGGCCACAATGGCCGGTGCTGGGCCGATCCGAAGCCAGGAGCCAGGAACTCCCCTCGGGGTCTCCCACGCGGGTGCAGGGTCCCAAGGGTTTGGGCTGTCCTCAACTGCGTTCCCAGGCCACAAGCAGGGAGCTGGATGGGAAGTGGAGCTGCCGGGATTAAAACTGAAGCCCATGTAGGATCGCGCTGTGTTCAAGGCAAGGACGCTATTGTGCCAGGCCTGGCTCCTGGCTCTTTAATAAGACCTATTTGCTTGAAAGGCAGAATGACAGATGATTTCAGTGCTACAATGCACACAATGGCCACAGAGCTGAGCCAAACCAGAGCCAGGGTTGGGGGTTCCCTCTGGGTCTCCCATATGGGTAGCAGAAACTCAGGTGCTTGGCACCCACGCACCTCAACAGGAAGCCAGGTCCAAAGCATGGAGTAGCTGGGACTCAAACTGGTACTCCCATAGGGGATGTAGACAACCCCAGCTGTGGCTTAACTTGCTGAGCTACAGGGCTTACCCCTGAAATAAACAGTTCGTAACAAAATTGAAGAATATTAAAAAGTCTCTAACAAACGTTAGAGCATTTTGTTGTTATGAAGACAAAGCCAGTAAAAATAAGATACACTTCTTAAAAATTCCATTGATTCTTTCAAAATTTCATAAAGAATTACCATCATACACTGTTGTAACAATTCAACGGAAACAGCTCACATGTAATCAGTGGAAGTCCACTTTGTCTTGCTCCCTGTTGCAGTCTGGATCTGAAGCTCTGGCGAGTCTGTGGTTTGTCTATTAAGGTTCACACGCTGGAAGGTGGCTGCGCCCCGTCCTAGTGTGGCCAGAGAGACCTTGTTGGCTGTGCTTGCCTTCCAGCCTGGCTGCCCAGGAAGTGCCCCATACCCTCGGGAGTCCTACCTCTCCTGGAACAGAAGCAGTTCCAGACACTGTGGCTGCCGGACAGCAGTCTTGGGTACCACCTACAGATTGTTCCCTTCTGAAACAGGTCATGGTTTTGATATACCATCCATCATTTTGGCATCTCACATACAGCCATATCTGTTCTTAAAAAACTGAAAGCAAAATCCAGCAACTTGTAGTAAAACTTAGTATTCCTTGCCCTGTTGCCTAATAGATCATTTTGTTACTATGGAGAAATGTTTCCGAGAACTTCAAAAGATGAGTTTGTTGCCTTGCTGAGAAGCCAGCCCAAAGCCTCTGGCAAGTGATTCTTCTTTGTCCTTGCCTCTGAAAGGGAACTTGTACGTGTCCTTGCATCCTGTCCCTTCAGTTTCCTCTCAGGAGAGCTGAATTTTAGAATTCATGACTCTAAATCAGAAAGGTGGAAATGACTGCCAAATTTCCAATAGTCAGGTCTGGACTCAGTGTAAGATTTCCAACAATCATGCACTTAGACACTTGAGAGGAAGTTAATCCTTGTGTTTATTATTATACAACCTACTCCATGCCCGGCACTTAGTGTTTTATATCTGATATTCATTTAAAATCAATCAATGCCAAAATGGATGCCAAGGTAGAAAGTGTTACCTTCTATTTTAGAGAAGAAAAGATGGGAGAGGCAGCTTGTTCAGGCTTCGTGTCTAGCTGTGACCAGCCAAATAGAACCCAGGTGTTGGGGAGCTGGTTAGTGAGTGGGTGTGTCCCTGGGCATTTGTCCACATGTCTTGAGTGGGTCCCTGTGGCGAGCAGAGTCCTTCATTCTGTCAAATTTAGAAATGTAATATTTTTGTGCCACATAATTGACATTTCCTCTAGATCTTCACACATCTCTGTCCTTTCTAGTTTCTGTGGCCTAGCTGTTAGCAGGAGTTCATGGTTAGTTTTTTAACTCATTCCAGAATTCCTACTAGTGAAAGGAAGGAAACCCTGGAAATGGCAGAGTGAAAAAAACAAAACAAAACAAAACAAAAACAAACTTAGCATCATCTCCGAGATGACTTACGATGTGTACAGATTCTTAAGTTTCCTGAACATTGAGAAGGTGTTTTTGTATTAGATGGCCTTTCTCTCTCTCTCTTTTTTTTTTTTAGATTAAGGTTTTTTTTTTTATTATTATTATATTTGGACAATCTTTACATAGTTAATTGGGGTAAAAATGTTCAACTGCTATAGGAAAGTGGGTAAGACTATTATTTCCATATTGTTTCCTTCATGTTTAAAGGGGGGAGGTATTGAGGGAGAAGGCCCACCTAATTTCCCCCCCCCCAACTCCCGCCATCCCCAGATCCCGCATGTAGGGCATGCTCCGAGGTTCTTGCTCAAGTGGTTTTGATAGTTCACCAGTTATAAATTGCTGCCAGTCTTGCCACTCCAAGCACTATGAGGTTTTTGAAGAGTCCACTGACTGACATAGTCCATCATAGAGTCTCCATTTGCCCTGTATTTCACTGCCAACATATAGCTGAGGTGGTTGATTGACTTGTTCTGTCTTGTGTCTTTTCTTGGTTAGGGTTCTGAGTCCAGCATTTCAGTTGGGGAAATCTCCAAAGAAACTTTGTCTGAGGTGTTCTCAGACCAGATTCTTGTATGTACTAGCAAGTCCAGGGCCTGGCTCAGTCCATGGCCCTGATCAGCTGGTGGTTGCAATTGTTGGGTTGGTTCTGTTTTCAGCCCCGACTTCCACTGGAACCAATGGGTGTTGTAGTCCAGCCTGGTTCTGCCCAGCTCATTCTCGGCCTTCGCATAAACCAGTGGGAGCTGCAGCCTAGTTGGAGCGACCCACAGTAACCCCCACCAGGCCTGCCCCCTACCCTGGATTGCCAGTATGTGTAGCAGTACTCCAGTCTGTCCCACACTCCATTCCACCCCAGTCCCTGTCCTGGTTTTCATGCCCTCCCGTGGAAGTGGTAACCCAAGAGGGAGGAGCCCACTATTTCCCTCCCAGGCCTCTCCCACTCCTGGATTATGCATTCTCCAGGTAGTTCTGTGGTTTGATTTGACAGAACTAGCCCCCAGTGCTAGCTTCAAACAACCCTCACCCACTCTAATTTTGTTTGTAACAGTAGGATTAATCAGTCCAGCGGGCTTTTCCCTGATCTAGTCCACATGAGGCGCACAGGTGTTGTAGCCCTGCTTAGTCTGGTATGCCCCCATCCCAGCTCACACTCTCCAGTGGGAGTAGCTATCCAGCAAAGGAACCACCCTTTATTCCCCTGCCAGCTCTGCCCCCTCCCTTATACTTGTTCTCACATGTGCTGATTGGGTGCTGCTGTCACTTTTGGCACAGGCAACCTCACCTTGGCATCCCGTATTGTGCACTAGTTTTTGTTGTAACTGAACGTGGCTCGACCCACACTGTTCTGGTGCCTGGATTTGCCAGTGGATGACGTGGACAGATTCAGCCTGGTCTGCCCCCAACCCATGCCAGATGTATGCCAGTGGGTAACTTTCCATGGCCTATTCTGGGCTGTTTCCTATCATGCCTCTTGTGCTTACCTGCTGAGTCTGTGTCCTGCCAGAGGAGTTGCCCAGGCTCCTCCATCAGAACCTCTCCCAATGCCAGATTTTCCATATACCAGTGGGTCCATGAGCCAGCCCTACTCAATTCACCTCCTGTCTTAGCAGGAACAGTGGCTTTTCCTGACTGGCCTTCAACCCAAATTGGTCCTTGCTCTTGGATGGTTCAGCCCAGCTATGGCTCTTCCATACTCACATATGACTCACACATGGCTCAGTAGGGGTTTGAGACCTTGCCTAGTCCATTCCACATCTGCCCTGCTCTTCCAAGGCACCAGAGGGTGTTGGAGTCTGGCCTGGCTTGGTGCATCCAATCCCAGTCCACATTTGTGCCAAGGGAGACTACAACCATGTGCCATTCAGGACGCAGCCCCCATTCCAGGTCACACGCCCCTTGGTGGGAACCTCAACCCAGCTAGGGTTGTCCCCTTAGCTCCCCAACCGGGCCTTTTCCCAGCCATAGATCACGCGTATGCCAGTGGTTGCTCTGACTCAGCTTGGCTCAGCCCCTCACCTGTCCCGACCTCTGCCTTAGACACTGTGGCTTAGTGTTCCTGGCTCATGCAGACCAGTAGGTACAAGAGCCTAGCTCGGCATGACCTGTGCTCCCTCTTGGTCTCTAGTTTTGCTTGTGGGCTAAGGTTTGCTCAGTCTGCCCTGTCCACCCTGTTCCATTACCAATTAACACATTACCCAGCCGTTGTAGCTAATTTGCCCAGCTTGTTTGAGCCCCAGGTCTGGACCACATGTTCACCATCAGGAGCTATGACTCACCAAGGGAGTTTCCCAAGTTCCTCCACTTAATCCACTCCCAGACCCAGTTCTCATACATGCCATTGGGTTTAGGCCAGGTTCTGGAGAAGTCTGGCCTTCCATTTGGCCTTGTATGAGCTGGTGAACATTGCAGCCTGGCCCACCCTACACCCTATTTAGGATGTACATTTGCATGCTGCTGCCCTTACCAGTCCAGACTGTTGTGGGTTCCTTTACCTGTGACTGATGGCAGGCACCTTGGTCACACCTAGCTTAGTCCATCACCACCCCATCTCTTGAGCTAACCACAGGGTTTGC